GCTAGTGCTGCTGCTGCTAGTGCTGCTGCGCTAGTGCTGCTGCTGCTAGTGCTGCTGCTGCTAGTGCTGCTGCTGCTAGTGCTGCTGTTGCTCATCCTGTTGCAGCTGCTGCTGCTGCTAGTGCTGCTGCTGCTGCTGATGTTGCTACTACTAATGCTGCTGCTGCTGCTAGAGCTCCTGTCGCTCATGCTGTTGCAGCTGCTGGTGCTGCTGCTAGTGCTGCTGTTGCTGCTGATGCTGCTACTGCTACCACGGCTGCTGCTGCTGCTGCTACTACTAATGCTGGTGCTGCTGCTGCTACTACTGCTGCTGCTAGTGCTGCTGCTGCTGGTGCTGGTACTGCTGCTGCTGCTGCTATTGCAGCTGTTGCTGCTGCCTCTACTGCTGTTGCTGCTGCCGCTGCTGCTGGTGGTTGTCATGTCTTTATTATCCGTGTTGTTGGCTATTACTGATGGTAGTTTACACACACTGTGTTTGCGTGCGTGTGTGCATGGGTGTGCATGCGCATCTGTGTGTGTGTGTGTCTGTCTGTCTGTCTGTCTGTCTGTCTGTCTCTGTAGATGCATTTGATTTTGATCGTTTGGAGCACACTCTGAGTGAGTTGGTGGCTGGTAGAACAGTACAGGTCCCCGTCTACGATTATGGATCAAGAACCATGTAAGTACTTATCTTACAGCAGTGTTAGTACTTATCTCATAGGAATGTTAGTACTAGTTATCCATATCTTGTATGGCCACATGTAAACTTTGTACACTCTCATACAGGCATGGGCTAGATGTCAGTGATGATGTGTTACAGTAAAACCTGTCACTAAAGACCACCGTGACTAACGACCAGCCTGGTACTACAGTAAAACCTGTAACTAAAGACCACCGTGACTAGCGACCAGCCTGGTACTACAGTAAAACCTGTAACTAAAGACCACCGTGACTAGCGACCATCCTGGTACTACAGTAAGACCTGTAACTAAAGACCACCGTGACTAGCGACCAGCCTGCTACTACAGTAAAACCTGTAACTAAAGACCACCGTGACTAACGACCAGCCTGCTACTACAGTAAAACCTGTAACTAAAGACCACCGTGACTAGCAACCATCCTGGTACTACAGTAAAACCTGTAACTGAAGACCACCGTGACTAGTGACCAGCCTGGTACTACAGTAAAACCTGTAACTAAAGACCACCGTGACTAACGACCAGCCTGGTACTACAGTAAAACCTGTAACTAAAGACCACCGTGACTAACGACCAGCCTGGTACTACAGTAAAACCTGTAACTAAAGACCACCGTGACTAACGACCAGCCTGGTACTACAGTAAAACCTGTAACTGAAGACCACCGTGACTAGTGACCAGCCTGGTACTACAGTAAAACCTGTAACTAAAGACCACCGTGACTAACGACCAGCCTGGTACTACAGTAAAACCTGTAACTAAAGACCACCGTGACTAGCGACCATCCTCGTCCTCTCGTGGTCGTATTGTGGAGGTGGTATCCTGTCTGTAGGTCATTACGACACGAACTTTGTACACATATTGCACGTTGTGGAGACAATCTGTACCTTCCAGCGGACACGAGCTCCACACAGAAACCTGCTTAGTGTGACCTTAGTACACTATGGTTCTCACACCGTACACATTTCGTGGGACTGTGCCATACGATTTTCCTTTCCCTGGCTGTAAAATCAAGGTGGGGCGCTCTCGCGAGACGGGGCACTCTGGCGGTACTTTACGGTACTGGATAGAACTGAAAGTCTGTGTTTGGCTTTGTCAAGACCAGGCTAAAAGTAGTGGTGGCCGATTTCTTGCAAGCTTTCCAATGAATACTTGTACCGTAAAGTACCGCGAGAGCGCCCCGTCTCGCGAGAGCGCCCCGTCTCGCGAGAGCGCCCCGTCTCGCGAGAGCGCCCCACCTTGATTTTACAGCCAAGGGAAGAAAATCGTATGGCAGAATGCTACTAAGTTTGTACGATGTGAGAACCTTCGTGCACTAAGGTCACACTTGATATGCTTTTATGTGGAGCTCGAAGGTAAACTGGGTACGGATTGACTGCACAATGTGCAATGCGTGTACAAGGTCCGTGTCGTATGACCTACAGACGGGAACCCACCTCCACAAGGCGGCTACGAAAGGACGAGATGGTGGGGCGCTCTGGCGGTACTTTACGGTACTACAGTGCTGGCAACTGAAATCCGACCCCCTGAGCGGTGCGCTCACATCGCACGGGATGGTAAAATTACGAAACAGAGACCGATAGAATGTGGAAGCACCGCTAGAGGGGGGGGGGGGGGGGGGTCGGGTTTCAGTTAGCAGCACTGTAGTCCTGTAATCCCAGTGCAAATTCCTTTGCCTTACTTACCTTGCTCGTTATCGATGCTTCGGCGATGGGCTTGTGTGTGCGTGCGTGTGTGTGGTGTGTGCGTGGGCTTGTGTGTGCGTGGGCTTGTGTGTGCGTGGTCTTCTGTGTGCATGGGTGTGTGTGTGTGTGCACGTGCATGTGTCACTTCAGGCTGGAGAAGCGCACACTTCGTCCAACAGAAGTAGTCCTAGTGGTGGGAATACTCGTTCTCTACTCGCCGCCTGTCAGAAGTATGCTGCATATGAAGCTGTTTGTGGATGTCGATAGCGATAACAGATTAGCCAGAAGAGGTCAGTTTCTTTTAATTCTTTTGCAAGGTGTGTGTGTGCATGTGTGCGTGTGTGTGTGTGTGTGTGTGTGCGCGCGCGTGCATGTGTGCGTGCGTGTGTGTGTGCGTGTGTGTGTGTGTGTGGATGTGATCGGGTGTAGACCAGGCTAAAATTAGTGGCGATCAATTCATCAGCCTTGCAAGCTGTTGAATTGTGTAATCCCAGCACAAGTTATGAAGTTGGTTGCTCCAACGAGGAGCACACGCTTCTAAGTTCCAGCACAAGTTGTTATGTCTAACATAGTGTGTTTGCTATCATCGCTTCATCGATGGGCATGTGGCGGTAAGGGGAGGGTGCTTGCTTGCATGTGTGCGCACTGCACAGCCTAGCTGAGGTTGGTGGATGTAAAGTTGTGATATGTTGGTGAAGGCCAATGTCTACAGTAATGTATGTGTTCTGTAGATGTTGCTGTTTTCATGTGGAGTATACCGACATCACAGAGTTCCCAACTTGCCACACTCCACATACAGTACAGGCATTAGGTGGAAAGTAGGATGCGACTTATCCTCTGCAGATACACATACTAGGATGCTTACATGAAACCCTAAGGCCTTGTTGACATGCTGTGGCTCTTTCCCGGTGACTTGCGCTGTCTTACATCGGAATGCTACGGGTGCCCCTTGCATGGAGAGATAACGCAAATATCAGCACTTTGAGCAGAGCATACAGAGCTGTTCTTCTGGTGCTAACATGAGCCAGATTTATTTGTCTTGTGTAAACAGATCATTGATTGCTGAATCCTTGGTTATGGATTAGTCTGTGGATTAGTCTGTGGATCATTTGATTGCTGAATCCTTGGTTATGGATTAGTGTGTGGATCATTGATTGCTGAATCCTTGGATATGAATATTATTAGTGTGTGGATTCCTAGTGCTACCTCATTTTAGAATAATTGCACATAACTGTTATGTATTGTGTTTGCCTAACTTAGTGCTGGCAATTCATCCATTGTATGTTTCTGTTTGTCTGTCTGTATGTGTCTGTCTGTATATCCGTCTGTGTGTCTGTATGTATGTCCGTGTGCTTGTCTGTATGTGTCTCCATGTGCTTGTCTGTCATACGTTTTCGTTGTCTCTGCCGATTTACATGCCTCTCTGTCTGTCTGCCTCGCTCTCTGTTCGTCTGTTTTTGCTGCTTTGCTCCCTTGTCTGCACACACACACACACGTGCACACACACACACACACACACCGACACACACAGTGATGCGTGACACAGCTGAGCGTAATCGTGACCTAGAAGCCACCCTCCATCAGTATACGGAGTACGTCAAGCCAGCGTTTGACGATTTCACATCTCCTGTGAGTCCCATTCAGCTGCATTGTCTGTGACGGATCTCTTGCAGTAAACTTGGGTATTTGGGCTTGCTTGCACTGTGTGTGTGTGTGTGTGTGTGTGTGTGTGTGTGTGTGTGTGTGTGTGTGTGTGTTTGTGTGTGTGTGTGTGTGTGCGCGCGCGCGTGTGTGTGTGTGTACCAAAGCATTTGGAAGTTGGACTAGTTTCGACTCCACAATCCAGTGTGTCGTTACTACTGCACAGCAGGACATTTTCGGACGGAATTTATTTTCGGACGATTTCGTACACGGCCTCTGTGGGCACGCGTGTATACGCGGGTCTTGCATGCGAACACGTGCTTTTAGCATGCAGCACTGTCCGAAAATAAAATCCGTACGAAGGTCTAAATTCGGCTTTGTCCGAAAATGTTCCCGTCCGAAAATTTCCTGCTATACGTTATAGCCTTGATGGCCGAGGTTGTTGGTATGTCTGCTGGCTCTGGGTTCCCAGTCCTCAGTAGCCGAGGCTGATTGGTTAAGTAACTCCAAGACCACTTCAAGGGACCAGGGCATCTAGTGTCTGCTTTTATCAAAGCAGCATGCTGTCTATAGACTATACTGGTTACCCCAGCAAGTGTAGGGTGTGCGTAGGTAAATGTCTTGGCCGTCCTATTCCGATGTATTCCGTGTTGTTTAGACCAGGTGTGCGTTGGTCTGTTTGGTGGCCGATTCACATGACTTCGCAGGTTGTGTGGATGGGACAGTTACCTGGCACTTGTCTTGATCTGCTTCATTCAGATTTTGTCCGCTATCGTTGCTATAAGAGAAAATCTGTGGGTGCACATCCAGTGCATTTGCAGATTTGTGTGCTTCTCTTGCGACGGGCGTAGATGGTGTGTGTGTGTGTGTGTGTGTGTGTGTGTGTGTGTGTGTGTGTGTCCATATGGTGTAGTGGTATGTGCAGCGATTTCCAATCGAGAGGTTGCGGGTTTGATTCCCGACGATTATGGTCACACGCGTCTTTCTTCTCTTTCTCAGACTCCTCCTGACTTTTGTTTCATTCTCCTGGGTGGTTACCAACAGCCAGTGCATGCCGGAGTATGTGGTGTGATGTGTGTGCGGGAAAAAAAATGAAAAAAGATCAAAAAGTAGGGATTCGCTGGCTAGAAAAAAGCCACTCATAGCTGTGTGGTGTAGACCAGGCTGAATAGTGGAGGTCAATTCTTCAGCCTTGCAAGCTGTTGAATGGCGCTATCCCGGCACAAGTTGCTATGGCTTCTGCTGTAGCATCACTATCATCGCCTCTGGCGATGGGCGTCAAATGGTCAAATGATGTGTGTGATCAGCACCTGCACAGTAGCTAAGCCACTGTAGGAGAGTTGTATCTCTGCCTTGATCCATACCGGCGGTTGCGTCCCTGCCTTAATCCATGCCGGCGGTTGTGTCCCTGCCTTAATCCATGCTGGCAGTTGTGTCCCTGCCTTAATCCATGCTGGCGGTTGTGTCCCTGCCTTAATCCATGCCGGCGGCGGTTGCGTCCCTGCTTTGATCCATGCTGGCGGTTGCGTCCCTGCCTTAATCCATGCCGGCGGCGGTTGCGTCCCTGCCTTGATCCATGCTGCTACAGTCTAGTAACAGAAAAGTTCTCTTCATCTGCTCATGTTACTTCTGTTGTTCCTGTGGATTCTTCCATGTGTGTGTGCGTGCATGCGCGTACGTGTGTGTGTGTTTGTTTTCTTGCTCAGACCAAGAAATATGCTGATGTGATTCTGCCACGTGGTGTGGACAATGGAGGTGAGGGTTTTCCTTGTCTGTATGCGTTTCAGGGTTTGGGGGTGCCAAGTTATCCCGTCCGGATATCAGTGTGCAATAGCTGCCAAAGTGCGCATATGTACTGGTAACACCCAGTTTGGCTACAGAAGGGGCGGAGAGGGGGGGGGGGGGGGGGGGCATATCCAGGAAAAAAACCCTGATCCTAGGTCTTTTGTAAGGAATCCTGTGTAGGTACATGTATGCCTTGTTATGGTTAGGGTTAGGGCTGGTCTGTTGTCATCAGGTTGGGGCTGGTCTGTTGTCATCAGGTTGGGGCTGGTCTGTTGTCATCAGGTTGGGGCTGGTCTGTTGCCATTAGGTTTGGGCTGGTCTGTTGTCATTAGGTTAGGGCTGGCCTGTTGTCATCAGGTTGGGGCTGGTCTGTTGTCATCAGGTTGGGGCTGGTCTGTTGTCATCAGGTTGGGGCTGGTCTGTTGTCATCAGGTTGGGGCTGGTCTGTTGTCATTAGGTTGGGGCTGGTCTGTTGTCATCAGGTTGGGGCTGGTCTGTTGTCATTAGGCTGGGGCTGGTCTGTTGTCATTAGGCTGGGGCTGGTCTGTTGCCATTAGGCTGGGGCTGGTCTGTTGTCATTAGGCTGGGGCTGGTCTGTTGTCATTAGGTTGGGGCTGGTCTGTTGCCATTACGCTGGGGCTGGTCTGTTGTCATCAGGTTAGGGCTGGTCTGTTGTCATTAGGTTTGGTTATTTGAAAGTGTATTGTTGTTGTTGTGCCCGTCCCCTGCACTGCCTTCCCAGTCTTTCACCTATACACTATACAGTCTACAGTCAACAGTACTGCTCTATGGAATACGATTGGGTGACAGTCAACACCACGCCGTGCTCTGTACAGCCCTAGACCTGTGAACACTGTACAGCCCTAGACTTGTGAACACTGTACAGCCCTAGACCTGTGAACACTGTACAGTCCTAGACCTGTGAACACTGTACAGCCCTAGACCTGTGAACACTGTACAGCCCTAGACCTGTGAACACTGTACAGTCCTAGACCTGTGAACACTGTACAGTCCTAGACCTGTGAACACTGTACAGCCCTAGACCTGTGAACACTGTACAGCCCTAGACCTGTGAACACTGTACAGCCCTAGACCTGTGAACACTGTACAGCCCTAGACCTGTGAACACTGTACAGCCCTAGACCTGTGAACACTGTACAGTCCTAGACCTGTGAACACTGTACAGCCCTAGACCTGTGAACACTGTACAGCCCTAGACCTGTGAACACTGTACAGCCCTAGACCTGTGAACACTGTACAGCCCTAGACCTGTGAACACTGTACAGCCCTAGACCTGTGAACACTGTACAGTCCTAGACCTGTGAACACTGTACAGTCCTAGACCTGTGAACACTGTACAGTCCTAGACCTGTGAACACTGTACAGCCCTAGACCTGTGAACACTGTACAGCCCTAGACCTGTGAACACTGTACAGCCCTAGACCTGTGAACACTGTACAGCCCTAGACCTGTGAACACTGTACAGTCCTAGACCTGTGAACACTGTACAGTCCTAGACCTGTGAACACTGTACAGTCCTAGACCTGTGAACACTGTACAGCCCTAGACCTGTGAACACTGTACAGCCCTAGACCTGTGAACACTGTACAGTCCTAGACCTGTGAACACTGTACAGTCCTAGACCTGTGAACACTGTACAGCCCTAGACCTGTGAACACTGTACAGCCCTAGACCTGTGAACACTGTACAGCCCTAGACCTGTGAACACTGTACAGCCCTAGACCTGTGAACACTGTACAGCCCTAGACCTGTGAACACTGTACAGTCCTAGACCTGTGAACACTGTACAGCCCTAGACCTGTGAACACTGTACAGCCCTAGACCTGTGAACACTGTACAGCCCTAGACCTGTGAACACTGTACAGTCCTAGACCTGTGAACACTGTACAGCCCTAGACCTGTGAACACTGTACAGCCCTAGACCTGTGAACACTGTACAGTCCTAGACCTGTGAACACTGTACAGTCCTAGACCTGTGAACACTGTACAGCCCTAGACCTGTGAACACTGTACAGCCCTAGACCTGTGAACACTGTACAGCCCTAGACCTGTGAACACTGTACAGCCCTAGACCTGTGAACACTGTACAGTCCTAGACCTGTGAACACTGTACAGCCCTAGACCTGTGAACACTGTACAGCCCTAGACCTGTGAACACTGTACAGCCCTAGACCTGTGAACACTGTACAGCCCTAGACCTGTGAACACTGTACAGCCCTAGACCTGTGAACACTGTACAGCCCTAGACCGGTGAACACTGTACAGCCCTAGACCGGTGAACACTGGCATGTACACTGGTGCAGGCTGGCCTCAACTAGTTTCCAATACGTCACTGCATTTATACACTTGTGCTCGGTGAAATCTGACCCACAGTGCATAATATTATGTAGTGCACTCAACTTGCACGACCCTTGATCTGGTCCTGGAAGTGGTAGGAATGCGACTGGCAGACTGGCCTGACTGGCAGACTGGCCTGACTGGCAGACTGGCCTGACTGGCAGACTGGCAGACTGGCCTGCACATGCACAAATACAGTGATGTAATCGCAACTGGTCCAGGGCGTCAGCTTTGCACTTTGGATTGGATTTCAGTGAGCCCAACTGTACAGGTATACACATCTAGAAGCAGCAGCAGTAGCAGTGAGGTTGTGCCACACGGTAAAACGTACCAAATTACGTATGGAAACCTCGCCGCGGTACAGGATCAAGTTTCATACGGATTTTTTCATACCGTTTTCCTTGTGAAGCGCGCTTCACACGAACGGACTGGTCTCCGTGTCAAAACTGAGCGGACAGAGTACATGTTGCTGTGGGTAGCATCAAGAGTACATGAAAACCAGAGTGTGCAGCTCGGATGGGTTGCTGTCACGGCGAAATTCCGTGATTACATCATTTTAGTGATGTAGTGCGTACAAGCAGGATTCAAGCAGGTCTCTTTCTGCACAACTGCAGCTCAGTTGTACGCACTACGCCATTTCCCGCCTCAGATCTGGGCCAAATATGATGTAATCACGGAATTTCGCCGTGACAGACACCCATAGCAGAAAAGGCCCGAAGCTGCACACTCTGGTTTTCATGTACTCTTGGTAGCATGCTAGAACATGCTGCCCACAGCAACATGCTAGAGCATGCTACCCAAAGCAACATGCTAGAGCATGCTACCCACAGCAACATGCTAGAACATGCTGCCCACAGCAACATGCTAGAGCATGCTACCCACAGCAACATGCTAGAGCATGCTACCCACAGCAACATGCTAGAACATGCTACCCACAGCAACATGCTAGAGCATGCTACCCACAGCAACATGCTAGAACATGCTGCCCACAGCAACATGCTAGAGCATGCTGCCCACAGCAACATGCTAGAGCATGCTGCCCACAGCAACATGCTAGAGCATGCTACCCACAGCAACATGCTAGAGCATGCTAGAGCATGCTACCCACAGCAACATGCTAGAGCATGCTACCCACAGCAACATGCTAGAGCATGCTACCCACAGCAACATGCTAGAGCATGCTACCCACAGCAACATGCTAGAGCATGCTACCCACAGCAACATGCTAGAGCATGCTACCCACAGCAACATGCTAGAGCATGCTGCCCACAGCAACATGCTAGAGCATGCTGCCCACAGCAACATGCTAGAGCATGCTACCCACAGCAACATGCTAGAGCATGCTGCCCACAGCAACATGCTAGAGCATGCTACCCACAGCAACATGCTAGAGCATGCTACCCACGGCAACATGCTAGAACATGCTGCCCACAGCAACATGCTAGAGCATGCTGCCCACAGCAACATGCTAGAGCATGCTACCCACAGCAACATGCTAGAGCATGCTACCCACAGCAGAACCGGCGCAACGTACGAAAAATCCGTGTGAAACTTCACTGCAGTTGACACGGAGTTTGGTACGTAGTTCCGTGTAGCAGAACCTCTCTATTCATACCGCTTGCAGGGTGTCAAGGGCCATGCATGTGAGGAGAAGGACGTTGGGCTGAATTTCACCCAGTACAGCTATGTCTCAAAATACTGCATGTTTAACCCCGTGCATAAGAGTACATAACCCCCCGAGAGTGTGCAACTGCCTGCAATAACTCTATCCAGTGATGAGACGACGGCAGAACTTCACATCACGTGACATTGTTCAATAGGTTTGCCGGCCAGTTGTGCACGGTGGTGGTCAGCATGGAGTTGAAGCCAACGCAGGGCTGCGTACAACCCTGTTGCGCGGTGGTGGTCAGCATAGAGTTGAAGCCAACTCTGCCCGAAGCATGTGCTGTTTTGAACATTTTGCTCGTAATTGACGCGGAGGGCGCCCAGCTCCCTGACATTTGCGTCAATTGTTGCACGAGCAACCATGTTGTCAGTGGTTTGCTCGATGGCAATTCGAGACTTTCTGATGTTCTGTAGCGGCGTCCATCAGTATTGGCACAATGGCATCCACAGAGGCCCAGGGCAGCCATACAGCGTATCACGATCGACTGTTCCTTCCCTATCACATATAGCTGCTTGTCACAGTCAGCTGCTGCTGCTTCCCTATCACCTGCAACCAGCACTGATCATGAATTTGGTGGAACACCAATGATTCGGTCAGGACTACATCTCCATCACCAGCTTCTTCAGCCTTATTTTACCTGCCATGAAGTGTCCATGTAATGCAGATCAGCGTCTGCTTCTCTCTCTCTCTCTCTCTCTCTCTCTCTCTCTCTCTCTCTCTCTCTCTCTCTCTCTCTCTCTCTCTCTCTCTCTCTCTCTCTCTCTCTCTCTCTCCCTCTCTCCCTCTCTCTCTCTCTCTCTCTCTCTCTCTCTCTCTCTCTCTCTCTCTCTCTCTCTCTCTCTCTCTTCCTCTCTCCCTCTCTCTCTCTCTCTCTCTCTCTCTCTCTCTCTCTCTCTCTCTCTCTCTCTCTCTCTCTCTCTCTCTCTCTCTCTCTCTCTCTCTCTCTCTCTCTCTCTCTCTCTCTCTCTCTCTCTCTCTCTCTCTCTCTCTCTCTCTCTCTCTCTCTCTCTCTCTCTCTCTCTCTCTCTCTCTCTCTCTCTCTCTCTCTCTCTCTCTCTCTCTCTCTCTCTCTCTCTCTCTCTCTCTTACACACACACACCCCGAGGCCAATGGGGATATCACACTAATCAAGGGGGGGGGGGGAGAGGGAGAGAGAGAGAGAGAGGTCGATACTCAAGTTAGTCACCTTTTCAAAGAATCTTTCTGAATTCCTCTCTCCCTCATGGCAAATTTATGCAGCGGAGAAAACTTCAAATTATTTCTTGTAAATAAATATGGGCAAATCCAGGTAGTTAGCAATCTTGTACAGTGCGTGTCTCTGACTCTGTGTGTGTCCGTGTCTGTGTGTGTCTGTGTGTGTCTGTGTCTGTGTGTGTCTGTGTGTGTCCGTATCTGTGTGTGTCCGTGTCTGTGTGTGTGTGTGTCCGTGTCTGTGTGCACATGTGGTGTATACGTGTGTGGTGTCTTGCCAATTCTGTGCTTGCAGTTGCTATCAATCTCATCGGTCAGCACATTCGTGACATTCTATCTGGTGGTGTGATCTACACCCAGCGGCCACCGCGACAACGCACAACGTCTTGTTCTGATGGTCCTGCCTCTACTGGTAGTGGCGGTGCTGGTGCTGCTGCTGCTGGTACTGGCAAGACTTCAGAACCGTCTTTGTCAAGACCACATTGAATCTAAGCTCGTCGTCACGGCTACATGAGATGCGCTGACCATTGCTTGCAGGCATCGGAATCAGCCTGATAGTGATGCTACTGGGACGGTTTCTGCTGCTGCTGCTGCTGCTGCTGCTGCTGCTACTGCTGCTGCTGGTACTGTGCTAAAGGTAGTGGCATCAAGCCTCTTGTCTGTTTTTCTGCCCGTCGCTCTCCCGTCCGTCTGTGTACAGAGACTTGCATGTGCGTGCACGTGTGTGTGGCGCTTTTTATTCCTCGTCACACGTAGCAATCTGGCTAGTGTCCATGTCTTGTCACGTTCTGTGTAGCAATGTATGCTGGTGGTGCTCTATGCTGCTGCTCTATGCTGCTGCTCTATGCTGGCTGGCTTCCGTCTTGTATGACCTCATCCCGGTGAAAGTGCCCTGTCATTCTCATGTATTCGCCGATAGCCATGAGAGTATTACATCATTCTCACCTTAGCATGACGTCGTGGCCATGAGAGCATTACATCATACTCACCTTAGCATGACGTCATGGCCATGTGAAACTGGACGTTGAGTATGCCGTTATCGGTACAGCAAGCACCAAGCCGACATCACACAAGCATGATGTCATACGCTGAAGACTGGTGACGTCACTGTCCCTGATCAATGCATTGAATGGGATTACAGGGAATGTATTTTGTAGCTCTGTTGGTTTACAAGCAAAGCACAATCTACAAGACCGTATTTTTATCAACTCATTTTTACCCTAACAGCAGAGCGATTTCCTTTTTTTTCTTCTACCTTGCGTATAAACTTCGTTTTTAGGTTTTTAGTAGAGTTGTTCCTGCTGGCTAGTAGTGTGTATCGCTCAACTTGCCTGACTGCTAGTCTGTGCAAGCTGCTGGATACTTGATTTGTGTGTTTTATTGTTTTTATACTCAGTTTATAGATATTGACTGTAAGTCTTGTTAGGAGGTGTGTTTACTGGTTATTCTCCCATTGTTCTAGTGGGGTTTCGTCCCAAGCAGCGGTGGCCTTTGTGGATTGGAGTGTGTGGAAGATGGTGTTGCCTGGGTGGATTTGAGAGTCGCTCTGGGTGTGTTGCCTGTGTGTAGATCTGGATGTGTTGTGTGTGTGGATCTGAATGTGTTGTGTGGGTGGATCTGAATGTGTTGTGTGGGTGGATCGGAATGTGTTGTGTGTGTGGATCTGAATGTGTTGTGTGGGTGGATCTGAATGTGTTGTGTGTGTGGATCTGAATGTGTTGTGTGGGTGGATCTGAATCCGGGAGAGCCCTACACTGGGTAGGTATAGGACTCACTGATCTGAATGCGTTGCCTTGAGTTGGATTTGAGTGGCTCTGGGTGTGTTGCCTGGGTGGATCTGAGTGTACATCTGAATGTAGTGCCTGTGTGGATCTAAATGTGGCGCTGGGCGCGGGTTGCCTGAAAGCCAACATCGCCGTTCTTTACTAGACTGTGGCGTTCTTCTTAGCATTTCAGGCGCTGGACGATCTTGAGCTCCATGTTCAGGCTGGACGATCTTAAGCTCCATGTTCTTCTGTGCTCGACTCTACTGTGAACATGTCCGGCACAATGTTCCCGCCAGGGAGTAGTAAAATACCGGTATCTTACTACTCCCTGGTGAGAACATTCCGGCCATACAGATGATACAGATCGCTTTCTGTGTATATGTACAGTAGAGTGGCTCGCCGAACAGCGTTAACCCAAGAACGCCACAGCCTCAAGTTTTTAATTGATTTTCTGGCAGCTTTTGGGATACGGTATCAGTAGTTATTATGATCCAGTGGAGTTTGAATTGTCAAGTTCTAAGGAGGGAGTCGTAAAATACCATTTTTTTACGACTCCCTGTTTCTTACTGTAAAACCGGAAAGTCTAACGAGTCACACAGTCTAATGTTTTAACTAGGGGTGAAAGTTAGCACTGAGATCCCGAGTTCGAGTAATCTGATCTTCTCCGATCGAATATTCGAGTATTCTTCATCTCCTAAAAATTGCACACCATGACTGAACGAGTACTCTGATTTATTACGAGTACGATTATTATTGAAAAAACCGAACGAGTATTCGAGTAGTCGGTATAATTGTTTCACCCCTAGTTTTAACGACCAATTATTTTTCGTTATTTGACATCTAACGTTATCGCTAGATGTCTGTGTATAGATGCGCATACAGATGGGTGGCTAGGTAAGAAAAAAAAAAGTAAATTATCGTGTCCGTTCCCGAAGGGAACTCACGACGGCCGCTAACACCCGATAAACCCTAGCGGTGGCCAGGTAGCCATCATTAAACTTTCTGCACGTAATCATGCCAAAATTACAAAAAACGTTTTAAACCTTTTGGTCGTTAGACTTTCCGGTTTTACAGTATAAGAACACAGCAGTAGTACAGGCAGATTGCAGAAAAATTAGAACGGCCCTTGGAAACAATGTTCTTGGACGTGTGACTTTACCGTAGGAGCTGGCCGCTATATAACGTGTCTGCGTGCCGTTACGAGTAATAGCTACCCTTCCCTGCCAGCATGTGTCATGACACATTGTGCTTTCTCAGGAGTCAGCTGAAGAGGGAAAGTTTGCCTTGGGAATTTCAATTCTAACCGTCCATTCTCCGATCAGAACTTCCTTCCATGCAACTGATCCCGAGTGCTACATTCCATTCCATCTGACAATGCTTGGGTGTTTGGGATGCAGACGACATGACAACATGAACATTGTCAAGGAATACGATTTCATACACCATCTCTACTGCACAGGCACGTGTGTCTCTGTTTTCCTGTCTGTCTGTTTGTGTGTGTGTGTGTGTGTGTGTCTGTGTGTGTGTGTGTGTGTGTGTGTGTGTGTGTGTGTGTGTGTGTGTGTGTGTGTGTGTGCATGTGCGTGTGTGTGTGTGCGTGTGTGTGTATGCATATTATGGGGCAGTTGTAGTACGGTGCATGTAGATATGGTAATGATGATTCGGGCGGATGGAGAATGAACCATTGTGGGATTTGTATACGATCAGATCGTTTCCAAAACTCTTCGCCTAATGAGTTCCCTGTATGCACTACGGGCAATCCTGCATGTCATCGCTGCTCTTGGCACGGTGTCACCGGGACTTTGTGTTCGTCAGCAGCAGGTTGTGGCCTCCATCGCTAAGTCACGTTGTATTGACCCAGTAGAATGATGGGTGTTGGCCACTATACACTACATCATGTACATGACCAGTGTTGCTCAGTGAAATCCAGTCTTAGTCGTGTCACTCAAGTCTGCTGCTTGCATCATGTCGCAGCAGGTCACTAGCTAGGGCTGCGCAATGCACGGCGCGCACTTGAGTGACGCGGATGGATTTCAATTAGTACTGCAGATATGGGGGCTCAAATGAACAGCATTTCGGTTGCTGTGATCAAAATTTTCTCTAGGGCTGCGAGGAGGGTGCTGTTAGCGAACATCCCTGTACCGTTCACCAGGTTTCCGACAGGGCCATCTTATCGAAGAAGGTTTTGGCAAAGTGCTTGCAATTCTCTGTGATGACACCATAGCGCTTGACATCGTCCGCCAAATCCATCAGCTGGGTAACTCGGCTAATCTTACAGCCGGGATAAGCATGGTCTTCCTTCTTCAACTCCGCGTTTGGACCATCTTCTGCATCGGTACGTTTCTCTCCAGCCACGTGTTGAAGAAGGTACGTCTGTGACTTGCTTCTCTGCAGCACCACACAATGTCTATTCTTCTCCACAGACCACCAGTACTCATCACCAGTCGTGAAGACCACTACTGCATGATACTTGCCAGGGACTGACACAATCTGCTCAGCACGCAATCCTGTCAAGTTGAGTGGAGTGGCATACACACCCAGCCAGTCGATTACTCCATCTACTATCTCATCGCCCATGATGGAACGCATTGTTTCCGTCACTGAGCCTCGGGCTATCTCCACGGGTTCCAGATGAGCTGCTTCGGCATTTGCGTAGAAATATACCATCAGCTCCGGTTGCTCGTCCCTACTGCTGCTGTACCGGTTACTGCTGATGATGCCGCCGTCCGTGCTATCGCTGCCAGCCGTCATGCTACTCCTGGAGCTGGCGGGCGAAGAAAACATCGAACTCTCGTATCTCCAAGGGAATTCTTGTCCTATGTGTGCGATTCTCAAAACGCGAGTCCGGCACTCGGGCACTCGGGCCTACGACCCCAGAGCTCCGGAGGCTGATGATCGTTGTCACCACACAGTCTACACACGCGCGCCGTGACCAGGTGACGGTGACCCTAGGTCAGTGATGTCTGATGATACTGAAACAGGCCAGCTGCATGGCGTGTGCTCGAAAGCTCTATGTAAATCCCAGTAGTAGCATTCGAAGTCCACTCACACATCCCCACTTGTTCCCAGTCACTGCTGCAACATACCAAGTCTCTGTCGACACTGTCAAGACTCAAGACTCAATGGTGCGAAGTATAATACTATCCAGGGTTGTCTTCTCACTTCCAGACAACCGTTGAAGCAAGACTACTGTTATTAGTTGTTGTCAAGAGAAGATCACGTGAAATCTTCCTACAAAACTCAACACGAACAATAGACACTGAGTGCAGATGTGCCGGTCCTGCTACTGTGCTAGGTTTGGAATGACTAGAAGATAATATAATAATCTTTATTTCAGGATTACCCAAAGGCTAACGCCTATATATCTGGGGGATCTCCAGATCTACTCGACACTGCAACCTGACGATGACAACAGTCAAGAGACAGTCGCGTCGTCCATGGTCGTACTCCCTGAGTCACTGCCTGAGCTGCCAAAATGTCTATCATTCCAAAAGCCAAAACTGCGCTGTCAAGTACAAACAAAAGTCCATGGACTCTTGGACTCTTGGACTCTTCGAGGACCACCGAGTTCGGAGACCATAGAAACAGTGATAGAGCCCCTGTACTAGCTGTCTTGCGACCATCTGAACCGTATACTAGTACAGTAGTGTACTTTTGAAGTATACATAATACAGTGCTGGCAACTGAAATCCGACCCCCTTGGCGGCGCGGCGCGCCGCCCTGGGGTCGGATTTCAGTTGCCAGCACTGTATTACTGTCATGTACATGTACAGTGTAGGTGTTAGCCCCGGTTACTTCTGACCCTCTGCATTCTACTATTTCTAGGAGTTAGTTAGGAGTTGACTTAGACTTCCTGTTGTTCTACCCTCAGTCGTGTATTCTTTGTTTGCTCCTGGATGTCTTTTTTGATTCTCAGTCCTCATAAACTAACTGTTACTTGCATTGTACAGGGTAGTAGCTTTTGTTCTGAACTGTACTGTACAGAGACTTTTTATACGGGAAATCACATAACATGATTTCACTGGCCTGACGCAACGACGACAAAGCAAAACAAAACAAAAAAATTAAATAGAAAGAAAATGAAACTTTAAAATCTGCACACAATGACAACTCAAAATTTAATAATAATAATAATAATAATTTGAAACTCGGATGTTGAGCCATAAATAAATGTAGAAGAGAAAAGGGCATATGGATACGAGTTAAGATGTCAGGTCAGTTTCTGGCCTGACAAAATTAGTATCCGGAAATGGAGGTTCCACACTGACCAGGCTGAATCTGAACAATGAGTAAACCAACACCTCAACTTGACCCTAACGCAACACCCTTCTATCCTTCAACGCCCCTAGCCTCCTTTCCCGTAGCCTGTATCAATGCACGTTCCCTTAGAAACAAATCTGCTGAGCTATCCGACTTTCTCACGACCAGCTGTCCCCTTGTTGTTTGCATAACTGAAACCTGGTTGTGTCCACAAATTTCCCTCTCCTTCCCAGGCTATGAATGTTTTCGAAGGGATCGACCCACCTCCGAGAATAAAATTAACACCAACGACTTCCTGGCCTATGGCGGTGTTGCTATCTTAGTAAAATCAAGTGCATTTGGTCCTATTACCCACCGTACAGACCTACATCTTCCGCAATTCGAAGCTACCTGGGTAGAGATATCGCCATCCACTGGAACCTCTGCTTGCCCCACGCGCCAGCAGCCCATCCAAATTGCGGCTGTCTACCGC